CCTGCTCATCATCATTCTTCTCCTCCTGAGGAGGCTCCGCCCTGAGAGGTCCCAACACAACACTCAAAATGAGGCTCCCGCCTGGGAGACCCCAGAAACAAAACCAGTCAAAACGAGGCTCCCGCCTCAGTCAGTCAGTCAGTTAGCCGTGCGTCCAGTAGGACGCGTTGGCACAAGCCTGAGACACGCGAAACACGCGCCTGAACAGCCGTGCGACACGCCGAACACGTGCAAAGGACGATTGTGGTCAGACCTGAGACACGCCAAACGCGTGCGGAAGCAGGCGGGCGACACGCCAAACACGTGCAGGTGCAGCGCACGCGCCAAACGCGCGCGGGGAGGAAGGGGGAAAAGGGAGGTGATTACGATGACAGAGAACATGATTCACAAATATTGCGTTCGTTCAAAAAATGTTGTTGGCCCATTGCTGTCGTGGACGGCCTCTCCGGCGGCGGGCACATCTTTTCGGTGCGCCATTGTTTTCGCAAAGTATGTGCTTGACCAAAGATTCGTTACTATGCGAAGCTATTTTATTGTATAAATTCCCCTGCCGTCCAAGCAAAACGTCAGAAAGTGGAATGTCACCGGCGTTGCTCAAGACGTCCACGTTTCTGACCCTTGATATGTACGAGCGCGGTATCCCCAATATTCTGCGTAGACATCGGCAGTGAAAGGCGTCTAATCGTTTTCTGTCCGCTTTCAACAACCATATATATAATCCAAAGACTACAACAACTTACTGACAACGCAACTTCTGTAAATTGTGAGCTTCCCGATTTTCCCAATGGAAGCATGGCTCCATAACTTGTCCAACTGTTTGAACACTTTGCTTGATTCCCCCAATCTGCATGTAAGTGCCGCGCTTACTTTACCATCGCATGTGATGAGGCCACCGAGATATTTCGCGACCCTCGTAGTTTTGACCGCCTCCCCAGTTGGTCGCGTAATTGTCTCATCTGTGGATCTGTGCATCTGTACCATCTTTTCCCGAGTCAGTTCAATACCATAGTTTTTGCCTTCATCCACAATTGCGACCAAGATGGATTGCATGTTGTGCTTGTGCTGGGATACCAGAGCTGTGTCGTCTGCATAGAGGATGTCGCGCGTCACGACAAAACCCCTCAGGCTCCCGCCTGAGAGATAAAAAACCAAACAATCCAAGAATCACCCCTCTCATCCTTGCAACTCATTTTTTTGTGTAAAAAAAAACAGTAGCCCACAGTTTCAGAGGAGAACTCCCCATCCACGCCTCCTCCTCTTCTTACCCGTCCTCTGGAAGATGAGGAGGAGTTCTCCACTGAGCAGTTGGTGACTTTCTCTGGACAGTTACAAGGATGAGATGGGCGGCTCTTGAATTTACAAGATCTCAGGTAGGAGCCTCGTTTTGAGTTTTTTGCATGTGTTTTTCTCCCTGGGGTCTCTCAGGCGGGAGCTTCGTTTTGAGTGCGTTCTTTTGGGACCTCTCAGGCGGGAGCCTTGTTTTGAGTGTGTTGTGTTTGTGTTGCACCTCTCAGGCGGGAGCCTCGTGGTGAGTGTTTTTGTTTGGACCTCTCAGGCGGGAGCTTCCTTTTGAATAAGATGTTTGGTGTCCTCTTAGGCGAGAGCAAAGAGACGGATGAGCAAAGAGTAAGGGGGAGGAGGAAGGAGGAGAGAGAAACAGAGAGCGAGAGAGAGAAAGAGAGAGAGAGAGAGGAAGAGGGAGTGAGACGCATGAAACCCCATCACCGCGAAAAGACGAGGGAATGCGGCCGCAGAGCCCCCCCAAACAACATGCACTTTAGCAGAGGGTAATCCATATATGCGTGTGTGTATGTGTATATATATATATATATATATATATATATATATTGGGATCTGTGTGGGCAGAGAATGATTGTGTATACATATAACGGCGCACGGGGTCCGGGCGCCTGGGGCGGGCGCCGCTACCGCAAATGTGGGCTCCGGGGCCCTCGGGGAGCCCCGGGGCTTCACAGAAGACCGCCAGAAGGCACCAAGGAGGCCACAAGAGGCTCCAGAACAGACCCGGGACGCCCGAAGGTCGCTCCCAGACGCCCAACATGGCCTCCAAGGCGGCTTCGGAAGCCTCCAAGACACCCCAAGCGACCCACAATAGGGCCCCAAAGAGAGCCCGAAGGGGCCAAAATAGCTCCATTCCCTTGGTAAAACGTATATTTTAAACATATTGCTTGTTTCGCTGTCGGTCCGTGCTTGACGACCTCAGAAGCTCCCAAGACCGCCCCAATACGGCCCAGGACGCGCCCCAGAGGGCCCCAATACAGCCCCAGAAAGCTCCAGGACGGCCCACGAAGGGCCCAAGACGGCCCAAGAGAGTCCCCAAGACGGGCCCGAGAGGGCCCCAAAGGAGGAAAGCCACCATCGAATCCCAAGCTTTCGACCCCAAGTGGCTCCTGGAGGCGCCGAGAAGCCCCCAAGAAGCGCCCGGAAGGCTCCCAAAAGCACCCCAAGACGCTCCAAGAGGCACCCCAAGAGAGCTCCAAGAAGCAAAAATCGTCCCATTCCCATGGGAAAACGTATATTTTTCGTATGTTCGCCTGTTGGGCTGTCATCGCGTCCAAGACGGCCCAAGGGGTTCCCAAGACGGCCTAGGAGGCCCCCAAAAGAGCTCCAAGACGGGCCACGAGAAGCCCAGGACGGCCCAATGGACCGAGGCGGGGGGGACCCGACGCGCCATGGGGGTGTCGGGGCGCCAGGGACGCTTCCAGACCGCCCAACACAGCCCCAACACAGATGAAAACGGCTGCGAGAGGCCTCCAGAGGCCTACTATGCGAGAGGCCTCCAGGAGGCCTACTATCGCGGAGTTATCGTTCTCACACGCCCAGGATGCCCTCCGGATGGCCCGCGCTCCCAAAATGGCCCCGAGAAGCCCAAATCACGGATTTCCACTCGATTGCTGGTGCATTTTAGCGCTTCAGCCATTTGGCATCCCGACGCTCCAAAACGGCCCAAGAGGTTCACAAGACCGCTCCACGATAGCCGAAGAGACCTCCATGAGGGCCCCATGACGGCCCACGAGGCCCCGAGACGGTACTTGAGGCGCCCAAGACGGCCCGAGAGGGCCCCAAGACGGTCCCAAGAGAGGCCCAAGAATGGGAACGCGAACCCAACAGCAGAGTCTTCCGCCCTAAGAGGCCCAGAGAAGGCCCCAAGAGTCCCCAAGTGTTCCGACGAGGCCCCCATGAGCCTCCCAAGTGGCGCCAAAAGGCCCCAAGGAGACGTACAAGTGGCCCCAAGATTGCGCAACGGCGCCCTCGACGCATCAAAATTGTCTGCAGGAGGCCCCCAGGACGTTTACAGATTGCCTCAGCGTGGCCCCGGGCGCCCTCAAGTCGGGCCCCCACGCAGCCAAGACGGCCAACGACGGCTTCAGATTGCAGAACATCACTTTCCGACTGCCCGGAGAATCCCGAAGATGCCCCCAAGGGATCCTAAGAAGCCCCAAAACGCCCCCCGAAGAAGCACCCAAGAGGTGTTTCCAACAGCTAGCTAATTGAGGAAGCACTGAGAACCCCCCAGAAGCCCTTCAGATGCCCCCACGAAGACCCAGGAGGTCGCCAACAGGCCCTCAGGAGGCACGACTATGTCACGCGCCTGTGCTTGATAGCGCTGTCCAAGATCTTCCAGCGCCCCCCCGGCCTGGACTAGAACTTGAGCGCGCGCGCGAAGCGCGCGCGATGGTTCTAGTGTGTTGTATGTGTGTACCAATGTATACATGTATGGAGAATTGTGGTCCGTGTGTAATAATTAATAAAGACATGTGTATCCAGATACACGTATTGAAGCACCCGTGCTCATCTATACGCGCATGGACGCCACGCCGATCGCCCAGAGGTGGGCCAGAGCTCGGGCCTCGCCGTGTACTCGAAGCTGCCCATCCGCAGGGAGGCCCACGGCGTCTTCTCGGCTTCATGCACGAGGCCCCCCTCGGCGGAGCGGCCTCGGTTTACTTGCCTCGAACGCATTCCTATCCCTAAGATTGACACGCCAAAAGGCGACGACAACCCTAGGAATGCGCCCTCAAAAAATAAGGGCATCCCTAAGACTGGCATCGTGATGAGGAGATGCCCAGCATAGGGATAGGGATACGTTCCAGGCTGGTAACCGGGTGCAGGGTGCTCTGGCGGCGCGCGGTCGTCCAAACACCCGAGCGCACAGGCCGCCACCGTCGCGCAGCGTGCGCAGTTCGGCAGGCCGCGGGCCAGAGGTCCCTCGCTGCCCGGGGCCCCTCGTGCGTGTGGCCGACCGTCACGCACCGGCGTGCCGTCTCCTGCAAGGGCTGGCTCGGGGCGGAGTTGGAGCTGCCAGCCGCGCGAGGCCAGGCGCCCCGGCGCCTCATGGTGCCCCCCAGCCCGCCCAAAGTTGCGACCGAGGGGGTCGGACGATCTCGGCGCATCCCCATCTGCGGCCCAGGCGCACCATTCTTTTGCACATTTGTTCTGGCCTCGGGGACCTCGCAGATCGATCAGGATCAAATGATGCCGACGAGATTGGGTTTGGGGCGCTGGTCGCAATTACCCACGACTTTGCAGCCTCGTTTGCCAGACCCCACAGGTGGCCTTGACTGAGTGGTCTTGCGTTTACTGCGCAGACCTGTTGCGTTCGATTCCCTGTCCCGGTGCGAGAGGGAGCTCGGCTGTGGGGATGCTCACTGTGCGGGCGAATTTTCCGCCTTCCAGATACGGGGGAATTCGAAGATGTGGGCATCTGGAAGGGAAGGGTTACGAAAATAGGGGGAATTCGAAAATAGGGGGGAATTCGAAAATAGGGGGAATTCGAAAATTGGGGCATTTGGATAGGCGTTTCGGCCCCGCCGCCCAGAGCAGAAGTCCATGCTCTGGGTCAGTCAGGGTTCCAATCTCGAACAGAGTTCGGCCACAACCGTTGCCGCGTTGTGCCCGCGCTTTTTCGAGAGCTACTCCAGGCCGACGCACAGGAAACCCAGGATTCGCTTCGGTAAGGGCTTGTCTGGTATCGCCCACACTGCATTGTCCCCCCCTCTTTGAACAGCCCTACTTGAAACATCTTGACAACTTCGTCGCGGTCTCCTGTATTCGAGAATGCGGCGAAAGCTACGGTCAGATTGAGGTAGAAGATCGAGATCTGTTCGGTGAGTGTACCCTAATGTTCTTCTTCTTGTGTGTGTGTGTTGGATGTTCTTGTGCATTCTGGGGAAGGGTACCCTCGAGTGATCTTCTGGGGTTTGGGAGTGTTTCGGCCGGCGGAGGATGTCATGTTCTTGAAGGGTGTTCTTCTGTTCCAGGTCGCCCTTTACGTACGCGTCGTCCGGTCACGGGCCATGTGCGTCCCACAGCATGTTGCCAATCCAGTCCCACGGCTCCTCTGGACTGGACATCTGCTCAATCAGATCACCTGCGTCTTCTCCATGTCGGTGTTCAAGGGCTTCAGGGTGCGTCCAGTCTCAGCGTCGAGATCTCCGCTTCCAGTTCCATGACGTTGTCCCAGAGCTTCTTGGCGCTCTGGTCGAATCGGGGCGTGTCGTGTACCTCGGAGTTGTTTTCATTGTTCGTGGTGCGCATCCCCGTGTCCTCCATCCTTCCCCCCATGCCCCCTGTCCTCTCTACCGAAGCCGTCGTTCGTCATCGTAGTGCCAAGCGCACCACTCGGCATGGCGAGGCAGTGCTCCGGGGTGACCACGGCTCTCTGGAGCGACCGGTCCTCGTGCTTCGGAGAGCTCGCGATCTCTTCTCGAGGGTTCGCGGGAGTGCATTCGAGGGTGCAGTGGGGGTCGCGGTCGTGTGCGCCTGAGCGACGCAGCAGAAACGGGGTCGTCTGCGCCGGCATTGGCGCGTCAGCTGCACGCGTCAGGTCGCGCGTGAGCATCGTCGTCTCCGACGTAGCGCGCCGCGCTGGCGGCCGCCGCGCAAGATCGCGCTGTGCCATCTCGCGCAAGACCCGTTTTGGAGCGTGGCTCGCCTGTGAGCGAGGGACATCGCCGTCTCCAAGCCGTGCAAGGGTCGGCCCATGGGGCCTCCAAGACAGAGCAAAATGCTCCCGAGAGTGCTCCAGCTCCTCCTGCTCCTCCCCCCCCTCCTCCCTCCTCCTCCTCCTCCTCCTCCTCCTCCTCCTCCTCCTCCTCCTCCTCCTCCTCCTCCTTCTCCTCCTCCTCCTCCTCCTCCTCCTCCTCCTCCTCCTCCTCCTCCTCCTCCTCGTCCCCCCCCTCCTCCCCCCCCTCCCTCGTTCTCGGGGCGATGCTCCCTCCTCCTTGGCCGCTGCCCCGGGTCTCGAGCGCCTCGGCGGGCCGCCCATCCGCCCCGGCCGCCCTCTGCGCCGCGGGGGGGTCGGGGCCGGGCGGCCTGCGGCGAGGGGGCGGCTGCCGCGTGCCAAACCTAATGGTGTTCCAACTTACTGTAGCTTTCTGTCGGGCGTGTCCCCCTACAGGGGGATGCTCGACGAAAAATAAAGCACACCCCCAAAATACCCCCAAAAGGTCAAGACATGCTCAACAAATAGTCCCCATTTTTTTTTTTTTTTTTTTTTTTTGTATTTTGGGGGTATTTTTTATTTTTCGTCGAATCCCCCTGTAGGGGACAGGCCCGACATAACTGTAGCCTTGACTACCAGAGAGGATTTTGAACACCAAGGAAGCACCGAAACTTGAGGATTTCCACGTGTCGGGCCCGGGGAGGCGATACTCGTTCGACACTGCTTCGGCACGTTTCTGGGTGCTCGACCTTATTTCTGGGATGTGGTCCGTAAGTACGATGGGAGCACCATAAGCCAAGCCAGCATGTTACGTATAAGTCGGGCGTGCCCCTCTACAGGAATCTTCAAGAACACTAGCAAAATAGTCTGGGGACGTTTTTCGATGCTATGTTGGCTAGATTTGATTGTTTATTGATCAATGTTATTTGTTTTTCTTCCACAATCCGCACGTAGGAGGACATGCCCGACCAAATACAACGTTTTTGTTCGCCGATCCCATGGGAAGCAAACACTTTGGGGCACATCGATTCTGTAGTCGATCCCCTTCGCCCACCTTGGGGGCTCGAGGCGCCCCAGTCTTCTGGACCTCCTCGAGCGGCCGCATCCTTGGCCGCCTGTGGGGGCACGGCGGGTGCGCTGGCGCGGCCTCGACCGCGGCTGCGGGCTGGGGAGGGCCGGGAGCACCACCGCCGACCCGCATCATATCAGTATCGTTTAGCCGACCCCCGTCCCCATCCCCATCCTCTTGGAGACCCCCACCAAATTACCACCCCAGTTGGGGATACACCCCTCGAAACCCGAAGGGGGCTGCCTAAATCCCCGTCTAGGGGGGTAAATCGGCCAGTGTGGCCCAGGCCACGCCGCTGGGGATGGGGACCGGTTGAACGATACTCATAAGGATGCACGGGCTTCGGACATTTCGAAGCTTTTAGAGTGGGGCGCGGCCAGCGAAAGTGGCCCAGGATGGACGGAGGAGGCAAGGATGCAAGGCCGGCCTCCAGGAAGGCTGCCCCTCCTCGCTGTTGCAGCGGACTCGCTTGCTACCTCCCCCTTTCGCCCAGCACGATTTGGGGGGGGTCGGGGAGGCTCGCGCCGCATGCGATGCAGCGCCATCCCGAGCCAGATGGCTTCCATCTCGACGTCGCAGATGCATCGCCGATGAACTCGGCAATGCGGTGCGGTCCTTCGTCCCCACTGCTCCGGCCCCATTTCGGTGCCCAGGTGCTCAGCACCCACCTGGAGCACGCGCACGACCCGCGCTGGCGGGAGGTTCGCCCGCGTCGTCGTCGTCGTCGTCGTCGTCGTCATCGTCGTCGTTTCGGGTATTTCCGGGTGTCTTCAGGGGGTCCTCGTCGCCGCGGCGGGGCGCTGCTTGCAGAGCTGGCCGGGGTGGGCCGCAGGGGTCCGACCTCGAGCGAATTCTGGACCGGTGGCGGGGGGAGGCCCCGGCGCGCGAGGCGGGCGGTCGGAGTTGCCAGCGGTGGCCGAGGCCCAGGGCGCCCGCAACCTGCGCGCCCCGCGTGCCAGGGGTGGTTCGGGCTGGAAGCGCCCATCGCTGTCCCGAGGCATCTCTCCATCGGGGGAGCGGGTCCTGAGGGAAGCGGGTGCTGAGGGCAGCGGGTCCTGAGGGAACGGGGTCTTGAGGTTTTTCGCCGTTTTCGGTATGCTTCGTGCTGTGTCTTTCCTTGTTCACGGATGGCCTCCAGATCTGGATTTCGCGGAAGGGGGACCGCAGCCGGCGGGCAGCGCCAGCTCGGGGCTGGACCCCGAGGGGAGGTCGTCTCATTCCCGGCCACACTGCCTTTGGAAAGCTCCAGCCCCCGAGGGAAGACTGACCTGCAGGGGCGCTGCCCCTCATCGACGTATGACAGCACGTTCACTTTGTCCCCGGGGGGTCAAACAGCGGTGCGAGGAGTTTGGGGCCGCCTTAGACCAGGGTCAGCGCTGGCAGCTTCCCGAGGTCCGGGAGCGGCAGTGGCGCGAGCTCGCGGCGAGGGCGTCGGCCTTGTCGGAGGAGGGATGGGGCGGCTCCAGCCTGGGCCCCTTGGTGGTGCTGGTTGGCGACCTCGGCATGCAAAAGATCCTTCCTTGGGTCGACGTCGTCGTCTCGGAGGCTGCCGGACACATCCGGGGGCTGCAGTCGGCCCGCAGAGTGAGGACGGGCAACCTTCCCAACGGTACCACTGCGTCCTTGCCTCCTCGGTGCATCCTTGGCCACTTTCGTTGGCCGCGCCCCGCTCGAAAACTTCGGAATGGGCTCCCAAGGGCCTCGCATCCGTATCGCGCATCCTTACTCTGCGGGTTGACGGTGTCGTCCCCACCGCTGGGCGCAGTCCAGGCCACGGGCCGGGACGGATCCCAGCGGGGGCGAGGGGCCAGTGCTGCAGGGGTGCGGCCGGAGTCCTCGCAGGGTGGAGTGGGGGCTTCCGTGGAGGCTGGAGTCCTTCCGAGAAGAGCCCCTCCCCGCCCTACAGTTAAGTCGGGCCTGTCCCTCTACAGGGGGAATATTCAAAAATCATAAAAAAAATAGTCTGGTGACGATTTTTTTTACAATTTTTGAGTATTTTAGCAAATTTTTTATTATTCCCTACCTAGGCTCTGCCTAGAGGGTTCTTACTCTCTTAGCTTAAAGGGGCCGGGCAGTGTAACACGCCCCGGGCGGTTCCCCCGGTCCCCGCCCCGCGGTTCCCCCAGTCCCCTGGGAGCTTTAGCTTTAGCTTTAGCTTTAGCTTTAGCTTTAGTTAGCTCTAGCTAAGCTTTAGCTTAGCTTTAACTTAACTTTAGCTTAGCTTTAGCTTAGCTTTAGCTTAGCTTTAGCTTAGCTTTAGCTTAGCTCTAGTTTAGCGTTGGCTCAGCTTTAGCTTAGCTTCAGCTTAGCGTTAGCTTAGCGTTAGCTTAGCTTTAGCTTAGCTTTAGCTTAGTTTCAGCTTAGTTTTAGCTTTAGCTTTAGCTTAGCTTTAGCTTAGCTGTAGCTCAGCTGTAGCTCAGTTTTAGCTTAGCTTTAGCTTAGCTTAAGCTTTATCTTAGCTTTAGCTTAGCTTTAGCTTAGCTTTAGCTTAGCTTTAGCTTAGCTTTAGCTTAGCTATAGCTTAGCTGTAGCTTAGCTTTAGCTTAGCTTTACTGTTACTACTAATGCTGCTTTCCTAGGGGCTCCAACTCCTAGGTAGGGTCGCACTGGGATAATTTTTAATTTCTCGTCCGAAATCCCTCTGTAGGGGGACAAGCCCGACTTAACCCTACAGTCAACCCGCATAGTAAGGATGGGCAATCTTCCCAAGGGTACCCTTGCATCCTTGCCTCCTCGGTCCATCCTTCGCCGCTTTCGCTGGCCGCGCCCCGCTCGAAAAGCTTCGGAATGGGCGTCCAAGGCCCCCTGTATCCTTATCGCGCACCCTCACTGTGCTGGTGGACTGTACCCCAGATGTCCGCGCTGCCAACACGTCCCCTCGCTTCCCTCGTCCCCCGCGAGTGGTTTGGGAGCGAGGTTGGCAGCACGGGGGGGGATCCTGGCATCGCTCGGACGTGTGCATTTTTTCTTCGGCGCGAATCATCGAGGACCATCCTGGACCGTCGAGCAAAAAAACACGCACGAAACCGAAACATGCACGGGAAATGTACGTCCGAGCGACGGCAAGTGATAGTGGGCTGGAGTGCTAGATGGTGGGGAGGTCAGGCAAGGGTGACTGGGCTGCGTGCTCGAGCCCCGCCGCACCCCCACTTCACGCAGGGCTCTTTCCAGACAGAGGAAGCAGGGAGGGGCGGCACGGAGGGGGCCGGGCCGATCTCTTCCCTCCCCCCCGCGTCTTGGCCTGACACAGTGTCGCATTGCTCGGCGTCGCCCAGGTGAGTCCAAGAAGTATGAGAAATGTGTTGGGGCCAAAACTGTTATTCATGAATTCTGCAGAAGTCGCGCCTCAGGAAAACCCATAGGACACCCGAGATATACCAGGAAGCCGAAAGAAAACCATGGGCACGAAAGGAACGCCATTCGACAATTCAGGAGCACTTCAGGAAACCGTAGAACAACTATAGGACCCCCCCCATCAACAAAAAAACGTAGGAAACCTAAGGACGCGTGTAGGAGTTCCAGGAACACAATATAAAACATCAGGGAAATCATAAGATACCGAAGGACAACCACATTAATTTCATGTGACACCCAAATTGGGCACCATGCAACTCCGAATGGGAACCTACGGGACACCATTGAACACTCAAGGACAACCCTGGGGACACTAAAGAACACCACATAACACAGCAGGCTAACCATAGGACGCCGAAGGGGAAGCCGTAGGACAGCTCAGGGAAACCATACGTAGGACAGACCACACCCAAGAGAAGCCACCAGAAGCCTGTTTAGCGCCCGCCTGGACGACGGCCCCGTCTTTCCCCTCCCGCTCTCGCGCGCCCGCTGCCTGCGCTGCTGCTGCGGGGGCGATGCTTCGTGGTTGCGCCCATGAAGGGGTCCACGGGCGCAGGCTGGTGGTCAGACTACCGAGGGGGGAAACAAGCTATGCCTGTTCGCCGCCGGAATTCAAGCTTCGCGCGGCCCGCTTAGCTTCGACGGGAAGAGGTGCGCTCTCGACCCGCGGATCAAAACTGTTCGCCGCCGGGAGAGCGCTGTCCCTCCCCCCCCGAGAGGGGACGGGGGGGGGGCAAGCAAATCCCTGTCGAGTCGGATCGGTCCGCCAGCGGACGTGGGCAGAAGGCCAGGAGCTCGTGCGGGTGGCGGGAAGCCGACGTGCAGAAGGGATTCCGAAGTCCAGCGCGTAGCCCTCCGCCCTCCGCCTGCGCACCTCTTTCTCGGGCCTCCAACAGCGACGTGCCGTGGCTCATCATTCTCTTGCACTCGACCGCCTTGGGGTAGGACACGGCCTGCCCTGGCCTCGGTGGCAGGCGGGCTCCAACTCCGATCTCAGTGTTCCCGGCTGTCAGGTTTCTGTCCAAGCTGGCCGGCGAAGCTGTTTTACAGGTGTGCTAGACGCTTCCGCCAGCTCTGAACGGGGTAAGATCTCAGAGCCCTGCGGACCCACTAGTTCATCCTACGCATCGTGATGTTCCAGTCTTCGTCGTCAAGCCGCACCCAGCCCAGGGGCGGAGTACCACGGTTCTCCGACGCCCTGAGGGGGAGGGGCTCGTTTTCAGGGACATCGGATGACGGATGACGTGAAGCATCACGACTCCGTGCAACACAAACGACGGAAGTTTTCGACCTCGTCTTCAAGCAGCATTCGTACAGGCCGCACCAGCCCACGAGGCTGCGGGGGGTGGGGCCCAGGCGGGGCAAAGGCGCCCGCCGTGACTCATTCCACGGTCCCCCAGGGCGCCAGAATCTCAGTCGAGGACCTGATCGGAGCCAATCCATGGATCCCTGCTGGGCACCATCCCTCGGTGACTGGCAGCGGTGTGGAGCCGGCCCTCCTTCCTTCCTCTCTCCTCCTCCTCTCTCCTCCTCTCTCCTCTCTCCTCTCTCCTCCTCCTCCTCCTCCTCCTCCTCCTCCTCCTCCTCCTCCTCCTCCTCCTCCTCCTCCTCCTCCTCCTCCTCCTCCTCCTCCTCCTCCTCCCTCCGCTGACCTGGGTGATGAGCTGCTTCGTGGCCGACCTGGGCTCGCCACATGTCCCTGGCGTGGCGGTGCAAGACTGAGACTGCCGAGAGACAGCCGTCGACATCGGATGACCATGCGAAGCCGTTGGCGGTCGGCAGTCGCAGCGAGAGCCTTGCAGGCGAAGCCGAGACTCTACCCTCTCAAGCGGCCCCCGAGCCTGTCCCGGAGCGCGTTCCAGCCAGGACCGCGAGGCGAGCCCGGTCGTGGCAGCGGAGGCTCTCCCCTCCCAGAGGACTCACACGCACCCCTCCGTTGGAGTGGAGCTCGGAGCCGGTTCGCTGTCGGCGTCCATTCTCGGGTGGCCGTTTCGTTGGGGGGGTCGCCAGCATTCTGAGCAGCGTGCGCGCCCTTCGGGTGGAATCGCGAGGCCGCGATGCCAGAAAGCTGGTGGTGCTCCGCGTGCCGCAGCAGTTTCTTGGCTCTAGGCGCCCCCTCTGCGGCACACCGTTCCCGCCCCCTCGGAGCCGCAGATCCCCCCCCAGCTCCGCGGATGCCGGCGCGCTCCGACGCCGCCCAGGCCATGGCCGTCGCGACGGCCGCGGGCGCCCTGGGCCTCGCGGCCACGCGCGGCGGCGGGGGCGCGTTCCTGGCCCCGCACGGCCCCGCGGCGCTCCGCGGCCCCTCCGCGCGGCCTCCGGCCGCGGCCACGGCCGCGGCGGCCGCGGAGGCCTCGCAGCCCGGCGCGGGCGCGGCCGCCGGCCTGGCCAGCGGCGTGGCCGCCGGCGTGGCCGCGGGCGTGGCCGCGGTGGGCGCGGCGGGCGGAGCGGTGCGCCGGAGGAGGGGCCCGAAGGTGCGGGAGGTGGGCGTGGCCACGCGGGCGTCGACGCTGGACCAGCTCAGGGAGGTGTCGGGCAAGGAGCGGCGGCGAGCGAGGGGGGGAGGCGGAGGGGAAGGCCTCCTCCTCTTCCTCCTCCTCCTCCTCCTCGTTCCTCCTCCTCCTCCTCGTTCCTCTTCCTCCTCCTCCTCCTCCTCCTCCTCCTCCTCCTCCTCCTCCTCCTCCTCCTCCTCCTCCTCCCTTCTCAGAGGGAGGCGGGGCTGCTCGGAAGTCCTGCGTGTCTTCGGGAAGGCTCCGGAGTTTTCTCGGGAGGCCGGGGGGCTTCCGAGCCTCTGAGAAGGCCCGCCCCTTCTCACTTCCCCCCGCCGCCGAAAGGAGGGCATCTCCCTGGAGAGGTACCGCAACATCGGGATCATGGCGCACATCGACGCGGGCAAGACGACCACCACGGAGCGCATCCTGTACTACACTGGCCGCTCGGACAACATTGGCGAGGTGCACGAGGGCGAGGCCACAATGGACTGGATGGAGCAGGAGCGCGAGCGCGGCATCACAATCACGAGCGCAGCCACTACTGCTTTCTGGGCCGGTCACCGTATCAACATCGTGGACACCCCAGGCCATGTCGATTTCACCCTGGAGGTGGAGCGGTCCCTGCGCGTCCTGGACGGCGCGGTGGCCGTGTTCGACGGCGTTGCGGGAGTGGAGCCCCAGACCGAGACGGTGTGGCGGCAGGCGAACAAGTACAACGTGCCCCGGATCTGCTTCGTGAACAAGATGGACCGCGACGGCGCAGACTTTTACAAGGACGTGCAGATGATGAAGACACAGCTCGGCTGCAACCCGGTGCCGATCCAGCTCCCCATCGGCCAGGGCAAGACGTTCGTGGGCGTGTACGACCTGGTCTCCGAGAAGTCAGTCACCTGGCTTGGGGACAAGCTGGGCGCGGAGTTCGAGGTGAAGGACGAGATTCCCGACGGCATGGCGGACGTGATCGCCGAGTACCGCGAGAATCTCATCGAGAAGGCCGTGGAGATGGACGAGGAGGCCCTCGAGGCGTACCTGGAGAGTGGCGAGGCGCCCTCTGTGGACGTGCTCAAGAAGTGCATCCGAAAGGGTACCCTCGGGTTCGACTTCGTGCCCGTCCTGTGCGGCACCGCGTTCAAGAACAAAGGCGTCCAGCCCCTACTTGACGCGGTGGTGGATTACCTTCCCTCGCCGATGGATCTGGAGGACACCAAGGGCAAGGACCCGAAGGACCCCGACCAGGTCCTCTTCCGCAAGAACGTGGCGAGCGAGAAGTTCGCTGGGCTTGCGTTCAAGGTTCCGAGGCAGGGGTGTACGCATACTTGTCCACCACCCGGGAAGCTGCCAGGAGACCCCAGAGGGCCCCAAAATGTCCGCATGCAATGCCCCAGGGTGTCCTGGAACATCGGCTCCCCGGGCGGTGGATGTGTATAAGTTCTGGCCCCGACAAGGTGGCTGCGGACCCCTTCATTGGTACGCTGACCTTCTTGCGCATCTACTCTGGCTCCATCGAGTCAGGTGACATGATGATCAACCCGCGCACCAAGCAGAAGGAGCGCTTCGGGCGCATGGTGCTGATGCACTCGAACAAGCGAGAGGAGATCAAGTCGGCCTCCGCCGGCGACATCATCGCCATCGTCGGCCTGAAAGACACGACCACCGGCGACACCCTGTGCGACATGAAGGACCAGATCGTGCTTGAAAAAATGGACTTCCCGGAGCCCGTGATCAAGGTCGCGTGCGAGCCGCTTACCCAGAAAGACAACGACAAGCTGATGGAGTCGCTGGCCAAGCTCGCCGCCGAGGACCCGTCGTTCCGGTACAGCCGCGACGAGGAGAGCAATCAGACCGTGATCGAGGGCATGGGGGAGCTGCACCTGGACATCATCGTTGACCGCCTCCGGCGCGAGTTCAAGGTCGACTGCTCCGTGGGCGCTCCGCAGGTGGCCTACCGCGAGACGATCACGAGGCCGATCGAGAACTGGTACACGCACAAGAAGCAGAGCGGCGGGTCGGGGCAGTACGCCAAGATCAAGGTGTCATACGAGCCGAACGAGGGCCAGGGGTACGAGTTCGTGAACGACACCACTGGCGCCATTATCCCGAGGGAGTTCATCCCAGGGATCCTGAGGGGTACTGAGAGCGAGATGCTCAACGGCATCCAGGCCGGCTTTCCAGTTGTCGACGTAAAGGTGAAGTTGATAGATGGGCAGGTTCACCCCGTTGATTCCTCGTCGATTGCCTTCGAGATCGCCGCGCGCAACGCGTGGAAGGAGAACTCCAAGGAGTGCGGCCCGAAGATATTGGAGCCGGTGATGAAAGTGGAGGTCACCACCCCCGAGGAGTACATGGGCAACATCATCGGCGACCTCAACAGCAGGCGCGGCATGGTGGCGGATATCGCTGACCGCGGCAACGTGAAGGCGGTCACTGCCAACGTCCCACTGTCCGGCATGTTCAGCTACATCGCGGCCTTGCGCTCGAACTCGAAGGGCCGCGCCACGTATAGCATGGAGTTCGGCGAGTACAAGCAGCTGCCCGAGAACCTCGCCGCCGAGATTTTGGGCAAGTAGGTGCCCGGCGGGCCAGGGACGGAGGGCAGCAGGGCCATACGGGCCCAAGCGGCCCGCGCCCACGGGGAACACGCGGGGCACGCGCCCGCGGAGAGCGGGAGGGCATGGCAAGGAGGCCGTCTGGCCACGGACGCCGGCAGCACTCGGCTCCATAGGCCGTGCGTCGGCGCATTTTGTGCAGCTTTCCAGAGCTTCGAAGAAGAAAAAGCGCTACAAACATAAACTTCGTGCGCTGCCCACGGACTCCTTGGATCCGCGCTGGGCCCCCCCCGCGGCGCCTCCCGCGCTGTCCCTGGCGTGCTCCGCGCGCCAGAGGGAAGTCAACTGCGGATTCAAGAAATCCGCCCTGACCAGCGACAGTTTATGTTTATGCCGTTTTTTCTTGTTCTATCATAGCCATCTATACCGTGACATGCTTCATGCGTTTTCAGGACACCAGCAGTTCGGCACCATATGCTGTTCGCAGGTGTTTGTTGTACAGTTTTCCGGACATATGACTATGTCGTGGCATGTCTTTTTTGGGTACACAGTTTTCCGATGATCAGCAGCTCTGTCACGTGCTCACCAAAGTGCGCTTTTACGACGGAGGCTTGCTGTTTCGGGCAACAGCAGGATTGAAGGCGGTTGTCGTTGATTCGAGAGCTGGTCAATGCGGGTCACTTCCTCCATCTGGCAACTTGGTTACTCCTATGGCTGCCGTGCCGCCCCTCGCAGCGCGGGAAGCGAGGACGATTCCATCGCCTCCCACTGACTCTTCCCCCCCCCGAACCACGGCGTTCACTCACCCTGATGCTGTCGCTCCGCGCTCGTCAGGGGCAACGATAGGGTGGGGGGATAGGCATAGGGGGGGATGCATCGACCCCCAATCGCCCATAGATCGCCGATAGGGGCCCGATCGCCCCGCCCTGCCCAGGAAGGTACGGATTCACTACTGGGGGCCCATCGCCGATCTGTCGGCGACGTATCGCCGATTCCAGGTCGCTGCATCCCCCCTGTGCCAGCCCTCCCCTATTCGTTGCCCCCCAGCTCGTGCTCCCTCGACGGCCTCCGCCCACGGCGCACAGACTCCAGAACGAGAGAGAGGGTGGCTGGCGGGTGCCCGGGAGCGGCCGTCTGCGGGGGGCGCCTCGGAACAAGACATCGTCCCGTCGGTCCGCTCCGCTCGCCGGCCCACGCGGTTGTCTCCGCGGCATCCGTCGTGTTTCACCGAGCGCGCTCCACTACTCGCAAAGTGCCTACTCGCAAGCGTCTGAGAACCACACGTCCGCTTTGATGTAGTGTATCGTAGATCCTCCGCGGGGGATCCAGGCCACCTGCGAGTAGTTCCTGTGCGAGTCGTGGAACGCGCTCGTCTGGTGGTGCTGCGGGAAGAGGGCAAAGCTTTGCAATCTCGGTGTTGATCCGCGTGGTCCTGAGGTTGATCCCCATTGCCTCTTGGGGGCTTCTTCAGGGCATGTCGTAGGGCACGCAGGGGGTCACGGAGGCACTCTTTGGGCCCTCATGTGTCTTCTTTCGGGGCTCGTGGGCCGTCTTTGGGTTCTCTGGAGCCTCCTGGGCGGTCATGGAGCGGTCTCGGGAGTATCCCGGGTCCTGGGCCGTCTCGGGCTGTCTGAGGCCCGGGAATATGCGAGTTTCGAAATACCTCAGACACTTGAGGAAGACGCCAGCGTGGACTTCAAGCAGTGACTTCTTGCACTCTGGACGTGTAAGCTAGGAGGTGGTGCAAGCGGTGTGGTGTTAGCCAAATGGTGTAAGCTAGGAGTCGCACGCTCCGTGGTGCAGACCGTGTGGTGCACGCTCCGTGGTGCACACCGTGTGGTGTTAGCTGGAAGGTGCAAGCTGTGTCGGGCACGCTCCGCGGTGCAAGCCGTGTGGTGTGAACCATGCGGCGCTGTGGTGCAAGCTGTGCGAGCACCAGCAGCTGCGCACGCGCGGCGCCCACGCGCCCGCACTGGCCGAAACACCCGCCCCGCCCACCCGGTGCGCGGTGCGGCCACGACGCTCGGGAGCCTCGAGACGGAGCACACTGCAAACGGGGGTCAGCCTCGAGCGCCCGATCTTGCAGGCTGCTGCAGGGCCGGGGCCTCCGTAGCCATTTTGGCTCAAGCGAGCTGCGCGCTTCGGGAGGCCCTCGCCAGCGCGCCCGCTCGGGCGCAGGCGCGCAAGCGGCCATGGAGGACGTCGCCTTCTTCAGCAAGAGTTTTTCCTGCTGAAGCGGTTCATGGCGTTTCTCCTGCCGGCTCAGAAACTTGCTGCTCCTGCCGCTGGTCGCGACAACATCGGGTTCACGTTCGCCATGAACTCGTTCCGACTTGGTTCGTCTGTCTACGACTCGTCTGGCGGAGACTTGTACGACAGCATGCCCAGAGGCTGGAGGCTGACGCCGCACCGCTCCAAGCGGGCTGTATGACGCCCCCCGCGCGCCTCAGTTGCCCTCCCCGCGACCTCCCCTCACTCCCTTCTGTGTGTCTTGTTGGGGGGCGGGAATGGGAGGGATGGAGGATGTGGAGGCTGTCTTGAGATCTCTCTCTAGTTGCCGCCCCGTTTGATATAATAGATTGTCCAGTGTTGGCGCTACCACACGTCCGAGGAGGATCTTTTGAATTGCAGGTGCATTCGGGCCCTCGAGGGTTCGTTCCCTTGTTTGTCGGTCGTGGCCCTCCGCCTCGTCTCTGTCTGGGTTCCTGGGTCCGTCCCTCGTTCCCTTTTCGGTCCCCTTCGGGCCCCTTCGCTCTTCGTCGGAGCAGGAGTGTTCGGCAGACGTTCACCCGCGCGCAAATCAAAAAAGGGCCGGGGCCGCATTGGCGCGGGCTTGGGCGCAGCATCCCGCAGGATCCTGCAGGATTTGACCCGAGCTTGGGTGCAGGATCTTAAGCAGGAGCTCGCAGGGTCCTGCAGGCCTGACTGACCCGGGCCTGGATGGACCCGGGTCAGGAGATCCCCGAGACGCTCCCTTCGGCGGGGCACCGGCGGAGCCCGGGCGCGCCGGGCCTCACCGAGCGCGTGCCGCCAAGCGCAGAGTGCCCACGCGCTCGCGCGCTCGAAAACACCCGTGTCCGCTTCGGTGCAGTGTCTCGCAGGAGCCCCGCGGCGGATCCCGGCCGTGTGCGAGCAGGCGCCTCGCGAGTAGTGGAGCGCGCTCGTCTACTACCCGTCCAGCAGCAAGCGCGCTGCGCCCCGGGGGAAGCGGGCCCCGAGTGAAACGGGCCCTCGGGTTTTTTTCTGCCGCGTGCGGGCTCTCGGGTGCCCTCCACGGGCCTCCCAGGGTTTTCAGAAAGGATCCGGGAGGACGAGTTCTTCCTGGGGAAGGCCCCCATGGGTCCAGGATCCGCTTCCCTGGGGACGCGCTTTCTCCATGCCGAGTTCATTTGGGGCAGATGTTTGCCTCTTGGGGCTCTCTTGGGCCGTCTGTGCGGTCTTTGGGGCTGTCGCGAGGCCCTGGGAACTCCCTTGGGGGCGGTCTTGGGGCTGAAGTGGTGTCGCAAGTCCGCGTCTAGGATTTCGGCATCCCGAGGGGGGAGTTTACAAATGAACTTGCCGTGGTGCGGTCGGACCGAGGTATCGAGGTCGGTTCAGGAGGGTACCGTGGTGTTCTTCGTGCCTGTTGTGTGTTTTTGTGCATCCTGGGGGAGGGTGCCCTCGAATGTGCTTTAGCCTGGCCAGCCGAGGGTCTCATGTTTTTGAAGGATGTGTTTCAATCGTGGGTCCGACCGTACCTTGCCTCTGAAGACCTCCAGGGGCCACCACGCGCGCGGGAATCAACACATTACAAGTCTTCTGAATCTGCTGCATAAGACTATGGCACGCCTTGGGCCAGTTGGGCCGGCGAAGTCAACATGCATGTCCCATATTCCACACGGGTGAGTATTTGTATAGCATCCAATTTGTTTGATCATCTGAATCTCAGTGAGTAACGAGTGCGAACGGAAACGAGAACACGTGGCAGAGTACAAGTGAGTCTGCGTATGATTGCTTGCATGCAAACCTGTGAGGGCTGTGGAGTGCGAGCGAAATTGCGTATGCTTAAGTGAATATCAGCGACCGGCCATGTATGAGTGGGCATGATCGCTAATACATCTGAGTCTGCGGAAGTTTGGAAGTTCGGGAGGGGTTCCTGTAACTGGGACGCTTGGGAGGTCCCCACGATCTGAGTGCGAGCGGGCCAGTGTCATAGCCCGTGGCGGTTCCTTATTGGGAGGCCCAACTACCATACCGCTACATCGTGGTGATCTTGGGTTTTGGTCGACACCTTGGGTTGTTCAAGCGCTATGCTTGCACAGCAAGGTGATCACAGGGCTCTGAAACAAACTTCGTCGAATGGGCTAAAACAAACGCTTCGCCTGAGAAGTCCCAGCAGTCCGGGCGCGAACGGGTGCGTGAATCACTCCCTGTGGAGGTTCAAATGCCACCCTCATTGCATAGCGGTGGTCATGGGGGTCTGGGGAGATAGCAACCTTGTGCTCTGCCCAGTCAGGCGCTTCGCTTGAGTTCCCCGCAGTCAGGGGGCGAACGGGCCCGTGACACATTCTTGTGGTCGACATCCCCTCGGGCGGTCCCAGTGCGATTCATACATGCTGCATCGCGGTGGTCGTTGGGCCCTGTGAAGGGAGCTTGTCTACTGGGCAGGCGCCTCGCTTGAGGAGGTCCCATGGTAAACCCCCCCGTCGGGTAGACCAAAGGTCACGCCTGCCACATCGCTGTGATCATGGAGCTCAGGGACAGACTCGTCTACTGTAGCAAAAGGCGTTTGGCTGCAGGCGTGCCCCCAAACTGAGCGTTCACGGGCATGTGGAAGACCATGATCGGACAGTCTTTGTTGTGGCCCAAAAGAAATCAATGTCTGCAATGTCAAGGTGGCCCTTGGTATATGAGACAGACTCGCTCACCGGGCACTGGCCAGAGCACCATGCTTGCTATATCGCGGTGATCATGGAAGCCTCAGTATAAGTTGAGTTGAGCATGCGGACTGCGTTGTGCGAGTCGAAGTGCGAGTGAGGCCGACTGCGTCGCCTGCGAATGTCCCGGGAGGCCTCCTTACGATCTAAACGGTCCAAGCGCGCTTTGTTTTGCCGATCGGCGCGGGCCCTCGTACCCCCCCCGTGGAGTAGATCTCGGCTGTTTTTTGGCGCCTGTTTCGAGCGGGTGGGGTCCCTCCCCCAGCGGCCGCACTGCTGCAAACAGTCGCACTGAGCAGAGGTCGATAGCCAGACCCCCGCCCCCCTCCCCCCCCTTTTCCGCCCGATGTCAAAACGCCGAATGAACACAACGCTCGCAATTCGTGGACCTCGACGTCAGCCCCGAGCGTCGAGGGCGGCGTCCAACCGCCGCGGGCCCCGACCCTCGAGACCTCCAGTGCGACGCTCCTTCGAGCTGCGCAGACCCACCGCCCACCGGGACCGCCCCGACCCAACCCGAAGGCCCCGCTCGGCCCTCCGCTTCTTCCAGTGGAAGGGGGGGGGGGTCGGGAAACACGGACAAAAGCACACACGAGGCCCGTCCCCGCCCCCCCCCCCACCGCGACCCCGAGAGTCGGGTCCTCGGGTTGGGTCGGGGTGGTCTGGCAGGCAGTCAGAAGCCCGAGCATTTCCTTTGGGTGGAGGGCAAAGGGTGAAATCTGAGATGCCGTTTCGACGGATCTTCGAGGCTTGAATCTGCCGAAGGTGAACCCCAAGACGCACTGATTTTCGAGGTGCAGAAGCCCATATGGATCTCACCCTGAGCCCTCCACCCAAAGAACATGTTCAGAAAACACGTGTCTCCCGAAGGCGACTTCAACGTCTGCGGCTCCGAGGCCGGCGAGCGGCTGGACGGCGGCGCTGAGTACGCGGCGCTGCGCGAGGCGCTGGGCGCCGCCGGGCTCCCGGAGGCCCCGGCCGAGCAGTGCACGCTGCCGATGCCGACGCCGACGTCAGCGGCGACGCCGACATTGGCGTGGAGGTCCCCTGAGATCCTGGCGACTCAATTTTTTCGAGCCGGGCCCGGGGCCCTCACAGATCGATCTGGTTCGAAAAATGACGCAGAAAGATGGGGTCCGGGGCTCCGGGCGCGGATTTTCACGAGGTTGCATTTTTTTCGCTACGTCGGATCTCAGGGTCGGTGTCAGCTCGGTCACGCGCAGAGGGGGGGTCAGGGCGAGGGGGGGAGGGCTTCTCAGAAGCACCCCTGCGCCTCAGAAGGCGCGGGTGTCCTCTGTGGACGCAAGTCTGGGGCCCTCTGAGGAGCAGGGTGCCTCTCAGAAGCCTCCCCCACTCGCCCTCCCCCCCGGTGCGCGCCGCCCAGCAGCGGCGACGCCGACACTGACGTGGACGTCGGTGTCAGCAGCGACGTGGTCCACGGCCTCGTCGCCGGTGCCAGGGGCGTGGCGTGGGCGTCGTGAACGGTGTCGTCTACGTCGCCGTCGTCGAGGCCGTCGTCACCGTCGTCGTCGTCGTCGTCGTCAGCGGCGTCGTCGGTCGACGTTCGGCGACGGCTCCGAGAGGCCCTGGTGGAGCAGGCGCGCGGCCTGCCCACGCTGCGGCCCGAGGCCGGGCCCGCGGGTCTCAGGCGCCCGCCGCAGCGGGGGCCGCGGCGGTCGCGAGGGTCGAGTTTCCAGGGTCGGGCCTGAAGGATTTTGAGGTCTTGACACGACATGTTCTGTTTCCCTCGGGGATCGAGGAAGATCGAGGATCGAGGACTGAGGATGGAGGGACATCGAGGATCGAGGTTCTGAGGTCGAGCTTGGGGAATCGAGGACTGAGGTGCCTCGGAGGAGCTTCCCGCCACCACGGGAAGAGCTGCGGTGATCCATGGGCCTCGGGTGTTCCCTGTGGACCCAGGCCTCCTCGCGTCGTGAAGCGAGACAGACATTACGATGGGAGGTCGTGGGGCCGCTTTCGGCCACAGGGAGCCCTGAGGCTGAAAAGGGCACTGCCCATGCTGAGAAGCCGGTCCGCAGGAAGGTGTCCTGATCCCTGGGGACACGCCACAGAACACACCACATCGGGTTCTCCAGGAGGGAGTCGGAGATTAGCGTTTCAGTTATCCCACCACATCCAATGTGTGGTTCTTGTTTTTCCAGATCGCCCTCTCCTTCTGCTTCCCAAAGGCGGCAGGCACCGCCGAATTGACATTTATCAGGCTTCGGGCCCCTCCCACTTCACCAGTCCCGCGAGTGCCGTCCAACCGTGCAGGGAGTTCCCGCCAGTCCGCGACAGACATCGCCAAACCGTGTCGTTCATTAGGTTTCGTGCCCTTTCCACTCCACCAGTACGACCAGTGCAGTCTGGTCCTCCAGGGAGGCCCCGCCATGCCGCGGCAGGCATCTGCCTCGTGCCCTTCCTCTGCCGCCAGTCCCACCATTACCATCTGACCCTCCAGGGAGGCCCCGCCAGACCGCGGCATGCATCTCCATACTGTGGCTTTTACCAAGTTTCGTGCCCTTCCCACTCCACCAGGCTCACCAGTGCCGTCTGACCTTGCAGAGACGCCCCGCCAGACCGCGGCATGCACCGCTAAACAGTATTACTTACCAGTTCTCGTGCCCCTCCCTTGCCACCATTCTCACGAGTGCCGTCCAACCCTCCAGGGATGTTTCGCCAGACTGCGGCAGCCATACCCATAACGTGTTTACTAGGTTTCGTGTTTTTTCCATTCCACCAGTGCCACCAGTGCCAGCTGACTCTTCAGGAGCCTTTTCGTTGTTCATCCCCTTGCGATAACGACCGCCACGGCGGGGGATCGGGGAGGTGCCCAGTAATGTCACGATCTGTGCCCGCAGGGGATGTGGGGGAACGGCGGCGGCAGCGACGATGACGCCGACGACGACGACAACACACGTCGTCCAGAGACCTTCAGAGGTAGCTATAGACAGTGTGCACACGGATACTGTGGTGTGCACAGGCATCGAGGCGTTGTTGTTCAGGCAGTGTCTGTTGCAGCAGCAGCAGTTGTTGTATACAACGGCTTTGTGGTGTACACAGCGACTGGCACCGTGGTAAGCACATGCGCTGTGGTGTACACTGGCGCAGTGGTGCACGTATGCTGTTGCAGCAGCATCGGTGGTGCACACAGGCACGGTGGTGTGCACAATCATTCTGCTTACACAGGCGTTATTGTGCACACGTGCCTTGTCGTGTACAGTCGCTGTGGTGTACACAGGCGCTGTGGTGCACACAGACGCTGCTGTTGCAGCATACGCGGTGCATGCAAGCGTTATGGTGCATACAGGCGCTGATGTGGGTATAGGCAGTGTATGCACAGGCATTGGGGACTGCGTCTCGAGCCAGGCACAACAATAGTCACAACTAACTCTCGTACTGAATATGATACGTTCGGGCTTCCTACGTTTTTCATCATGTTGACCCCGCCGGGGCCCTGGAGGTGTACACAGGCATCGTGGTGTGCACACACGGTCTGGTGTACTGGAGCTGAGGTGCACACACATGGTGCTGACGCAGCAACGGGGGATTTGGTGTGCATTGGCACTGTGGTATATGCAGGCGCTGTGGTGCACACGTCTGCTGTGGTTTACGCAAGCACTGCGGTGTACACTGTCGCTGTCACCCATACGTCGCTGCAGCAGCAGCTGTTGTGAACGACGGCTTTGTTCGGAAGCCAGGGAAGGGCTGCTAAATCCGTGGCTGCTAAAATCGACCTCCGGGAAGTTGTCTTCGTCCTTCCGGGAAGAAGCCCGTTGACTGTTTCGCGTGCCGCGCCTCATTCCAGGAAGTTGTTATTTCCTTCCGGGAGGGCCGTTTTGGCAGCCACGGTTTTAGCAGCCCTCGCCCAGCTTCCGATTTGTGTTGCAGATAGACAGTAGTTGTTGTGTACGCAGGCGCTGTGCGCTGTGGTGTACACAGGCGCTGTGGTTCATACAGGCAGCCTGGTGTGAACCCGCACTGTCGTGATTTTTATCGACCAGCGAAGGCGGTGTATCGCGCCGCGTCGCCGATGCATCGGCGGTGCGGCTCGATGTGGGGCCCGATTTGCTTCACGTCGACGTCGCCGATGCATCGCCGACGTCGCCAGTGCATCGCCGATGCATCGCCGATACGTCGGCGATGCATCGCCGATACGGCGCGATCCTTCGACCGCATCCACTCGGGCCCCATCTTGGATTATGATGTTCCAATCTACTTTACCTTGGCTGCCAGAAAGAATTTCTAGCACCAAAGAAGTACCGAAACTTCAGGATTTTCACGCGTCGGGCCCTGGGAGGCGATACTCGTTCGCAACCGTTTCGATTCTTTCCTGTGCGCTCGAAGTCATTTCTGGGGTGTGGCCCCTCGGTACGATGGGAGCACCATAAATCTAGGATTAAGTCGGGCCTGTCCCTCTACAGGAGGAATTGACCGAAATAGTGAAAAAAAAAAACAGTAGTCTGGGGACGATCTTTCTTAAACTATTTTTGAGCATTTTTGGGATCTGTTCCTAGTATGTTTTAGATTTTTCGCCCAACAGCCTCCTGTAGGGGGACAGGCCCGACCTGGACCTGGGGAGGCCCCTTGTGCATCCGATCCTCGAGGTCGCTGCTCCGACCGGCTCGAGGGGCAGGGCCTGCGACCGTCACCCCCCCCCATCAAGAGTGTGGGAGGTCTCCCCGGCCCCGCTCCCGAGGAGCGGCCTGCCGCCGCGCGGCCGTTCTCCGACGGCCCCCCCATGGAGCCTCGGAGGCGACGGCAGGGGCGAGCAGCCCAGGGGAGAGCAGCACGTGCAGCCAGGGGCGCCGCTGATCTGTGTGTCCTCGGCAAGGCTCCCGGGCGAATGCGTGCAATGCCCGCCCCCGGGCTTTCCGCCCTTCTCGTCGCCGCCGAGAGCCCGAAGACGACCTCGGGCATCGGAAGTGCCGAGAGCACAGACCTTGACAGTCCCCGAGCAGTGCTTGCACTGCTTGAGGTCCTATGGCGGACACTGAAAGACTCGGCGGGAGTTTCCCGCCGATTTTGGTAGCCGGCCAGGCTCCCAGGGTTCCCGGTTCCGGGCTCCCGGGTCCCTGGTTTTTTAATTCTGGGCCGATTTCGGCGGGTTCCGGGTTCTCGGGTTGCCGGTCGATCTATCGATCTCAAACCATCCATTGATTGGGGCTTTTCTCTGGTGTAATTTTTTAATAATTCTTGCGAAGACTGGAGCCAGTCCGCACAAGCACGGTGGAGACCCATGCCAAGAAACCCCCTGCTTGCCTCCAGGGTGCCCTGGGTTTCCTGGGTTTCGACGGAATCTGTCGTGGGAAGCGTGACGCCCCCACAAAAAATTACACCAGAGAAAAGGCACATCAGTGGATGGTTTTCGCTGAGGAGATCGACCGGGAACCCTGGAGCCCGGGAACCCAGAACCCGCCGAAATCGGCTAGGAACCCGGAACGGGGAACCCAGGAACCCGGAACGGGGAACCCGGGAACCCAGCCTGCTACCAAAATCGACGGGAAACAGTCGCGCCAAACCTTTCAACCTCCGCTAGGACCCTTTCAATGCAAGCACTGATTGGGGAACTTCTGCTAGGACCCCTTCAGTGCAAGCACTGATTGGGGAATCACTGGACTTCCTGGGGTCTCAGGGTTGGGTTTTTTGTGGAAGGCTTCCTGCGGTCGGGCCCCCTCCTGTATTCTCTGTCGCTTTGCGAAGCGACCCCCTGGAACCAGCGGCGCCCCGTGGGCCCGCAGTTCGCGCGGGAGTTCCACTGCGAGAGAAATGTTGCCCGCACCTTCGAGCTGTGAGGTGGGGTCTCGAAGTTGAAGGAAGTCCGTAGACGCGCCAACGGCAATGTAGGCAACGGCGGTGTAGGTTTCGGCACAGCAGGTCGGACTGATTCGTGGCCAAAACGGATTGTAGGACATCGTGGTCCGCGCTTTCCTACCATTCGCTGCGTCGTTCTCGCTCGATAATTTTTTTCGCACGTTCGAACTGTAGGAAAGTGTGGTTCGCGATCTCCTGCAAACTGCTCTGCGCGAGCTCGGTGTCACAAACATCGCCGTTGACCAACGTTCGCCGTTGACCAACACCGCCGCTGGCGCGGCCTTGGGAAGTGCCCAGCGGCAGCAGCCCCGCCGTGAAGGGGGACCGCGTGGAGCGCCCTCCCACAGCAGTGCACTCGTGCAGCAACTGTTCCAGAGATTTGCCAGCAGGGAAAAAGAGCACACAGACACAATGAGCTGTCGGCTCCCAGGAACATGTGGGCAAATATTGGAAGTGGGGGGGAGGACAAACAAATTGTGTTTATTTTAAGGCAAATATGGGGAATCCTGTAAATTGTTTCTATTTTTGTTGGTGTGTCCCAGGGCCCCATTCGGTGTGGTCCTGCCTCCTGGCGAGGCCCCGTGCGCGAGCCCCAGGTCTCCAAGACCAAGGGAGCTCGCCCTCCGTCCGTGCAGGCGCTGCACGTGCTCAGGACGCGTGCGCGCGGCGCCTGGGCGTTGGGAGCCCCACAGTCCAGGACGCGCCGCCCTCCGCCCGCGTCGCCGATGGATGTGTGCACGATTAAGTATTAGGTCGGGCCCGCCCCTCTACCGGAGGAATATTCAAACATAGTTTAAAACATAGCCTGTTGACTATTTTGGAGCATGTTTTGAGTATTTTTGATTTTTCGTACCAAATCCCCCTGTAGGGGGACACGCCCGACTTACGCGAAAGACGAGTGTGCGCGGCGGGATGGCGAAACCACCATCGTGAAACACCACCTAGAACTGCTGGGAAGGTTTGAGGCTGAAAGCTGGACCGCCGGCACGAAGCGTTCGGTGGCGGGGCTGGGAGGGGTCATCCAGCAGGACACATGGATGGGAACAGGACGCCGGCGGCGTCGCCGTCGCTTTCGGCGTCCCTGCCGCAGTCGCCGCCGCCTTCGGCAGCGTCGCCGTCGCCGTCGCCGGCGCTGCCGCCGTCGCCGCCGCTGGTGCCGCCGCCGCTGCCGCCGAAGGGAAGACTGTTCACCGTGGTCCGCCCTGCAGGTGCTCCTTAGACCACGCCTTCGTGTCGGCCTCGCTGGCGGCGCGGGGGGCCCGCGCGGCGGTGCTGGACACGCGCGGGGACGACGGCCTGCCCGTCTCTGACCACTGCGGGGTCGTGGTGGAGCTGTGCTTGTGAAGCGCATCATCACGAGGGAGGGGGCTGTCCTGGCGGAGAGGGCTTCTCTGGGGCCTCCGGGAGAAGCTGGTCTCGTCGACCTTGTGGTCAGAACGCGCCCTCCGCCAGAGCTCTGGGGGGTCGTTCCTGCAGGGTCGCCAAGGAGGACATGAAGGACAGCTGGCGGGGGAGGCTTCTCGCCCGCGTCAGGCTCCCTGGGACCCCCGCCCAGGCATTTGGGGGATGACAAGCCCGTCCTGTGGGCAGCACCAGGGTCCAGGACCCGTTTCCGCCAGGATCGGGCGGGAGGTGGCGGGGGGTGACCTAAATGGGGGGGTAAAACACAGTACCCGAATAGGGGCCCTTCCAGAAGACCCCTTTTTGGTGCCAGATTGGGGCCCTCAAGGGCCGCTCTGGGGCCCTTCTCTCTTCACCCTCCACCGCCCGCCAAGAGCCCTCTCCCACGTGCCAAGTGCGAGGAGCAACGCCGCAGCGACCTCCACCCGCCCCCACGCTCTGGAGCAGCCGGAGCCGGCCGCAGCTCTCCCAGCGCAGCGGCTGGCGGCCACGAGCTGGGCGGTGCCCCTGCTGGCGGCCAGCGAGGTGACCCCGGTGCTCCGCTGCTCCGCGAGGGCCTCGTCGCGCCGCGGCTCCCCGGCTCGGGCCTTGCGGGCTGGTCCGCGGCCGCGGAGCGTCCCGAGATCCCCCGCTGCCGGCGCAGACGGCCTGCGAGCGGAGGCGCGCGCTGCGCGAATGCCCCTTTGGAGCCGCGGCTCTTCCGCTCTCGACCCCCGGGTGCCGCCATCGGGGTCGCGCCGACGTCCGCCGGAGCGGTCCGCGAGCGGCCAGGGCGGGCGGAAGGTCGGGATCGCTGCCCGCCCGGCCCTCGCGGCGCAGGCCGAGACGAGCGGACCCGGAGCCGATTCCGCCAGTGGGGTGTAGGGGGCCACATGCGAACCCTACCCCTACCCACCACGATTTTTGAGGGGGAGGGTGGGGTTCACTTCGTTCGGGAGCTCCCGAGCGAAGTGAACCCCACCCTCCCCCTCAGAAATCGTGTGGTGTAGGGGTAGGGTTCGCATGTGGCCCCCTAGGGTGGGGCGCGCGGGCGACGGCTTTGAGGCTGCTTGCGGCCGCGGCGCGGGAGTTGCGAGGGCCTGCTTCTGCGCTCCTCCCTCTCCCTCTGTCTCCAGCTGCCCCTTCGCGCACTCTTCTCTGCGTGTTCTTTCCTCCCTCCTCCTCGGCCTGTCCACTTCTAACCGTTCCCTCTCTGCCCCTCTTCGTCCGTCCGTCCGTCCTCCACGTTGTCCTCCCAGTGCGATCCAGTGGCCTTCGGCCAATCCCGTCACCGCGCCTGGTTTGTAGGTCAGCCTCCTGGATGCCTGTGAGGATCTCTTGGGAGCCGCCGCCGGTCTTCGCATTGATTAAATTACGGGCTACGTGCTACTGGCACGCCGACAGAGGCAAGGCCACAGGCTACGGCTCAGCACTCCCACCTCTTTTTCACCCTCCACCTGAGGACACTCCACCTCGTCCCTCAGGGCACGGCGGCGGATTGCCAACACCATCAGCCCGAGCCTCGTTGGGTTTTCGGCGCGTGTGCACATGAAGGTGATCATGATCAGGGTCACGATGGCGATGCTGATGGTGACAGTGACGGCGATGCTTATTATGGTGGTGATGGTGATGGCGGTGATGGGGAGAAGGAAAGGTGGACCAACCGAAACCCAGGAAGCATCACCGATCTTGTTAATGCGGCCGCGAGGGTGGGACAGCTTGTTCGACCGCTCAGAACGCAGGGGCATCGCCCCGTTTTTTGACCCACCTGAGTTGCACAGCCGTTTGGGCCAATTGTGCTAATTCGGTAATTGGCGTTCAACGCTCGACATGGAAGAATTGACGGCGTTTCCATTCACTATGGGAAGCCGTCGTTGCCGTTCTGGAAGGCCCCTCGTTAAAGTGGATCTGCATCCTATGCACGAGCGTGTGGGGCCATACGTACGAGTCCCGTGTCCAGCAACCCTTAAGAACCGAGCAGCCTTCCATCCGTGTAGCTGATTAAACAAAAAATGCACTTCGCATCGGAAGTGTTTAGGCAGTCTCAGATGAGGACCCGATTTTGAGGCGGTGCCGCCCCCGGTTTTTTACACGTAGTTGCGCGAGCTTACCACGGAGGGAGGACGGGAAGCACGTGTCGGGGGCAACGATAGGGGGGGGATAGGCATAGGGGGAGATGCACCGACCCCCAATCGCCCATGGATCCCCGATAGAGGCCCGATAGCCCCAGCCTGCCCAGGAAGGTGCGGATTTACGATCGGAGGCCCATCGCCGATCTATCGGTGATGTATCGCCGATTCCAGGTCGATGCGTCCCCCCCTAAGCCAGCCCCCCCCTTCCGTTGCCCCTCAACATGGGAGAGGATACAGGATACAGGATGGAGTGAGTCCGCGAAAAGATCCCAGGCTTGGATCGTTGCCGTGGGTGTGCAACTCTGAAAGCAGACTGCCGAAGCCGCAGCCCACAGGGGCTGAGGCCAACTGGTCCGGGCGCGGGCTGGCGCGCCTCTTCTGTCTTCCCCCCCTCCCCTTTCCCCCCCTTCCTCCTCCCCGCGCCTCCTCCCCGCGCCTTCCCGCGCTGTGCCGTCCCTCCGTCTGTCGGTTCCTCTCTCTCTTTGCCGCTGGGCTCCGCCTGCGCTCGTGAGAAGCGTCCTGCGGCCTGTGGCCAGGCCGGCGGCGACGACGACCCCCCCCCCCGCAGCAGCCCCCGGCGCGCCGGCTGCCACGGCTGCTGCGCCACCGACGGCGCCCGCCGCGGCCCTCCGCGGCCTGCCGACGCAGGCCGGCGGGGTGGGGCGGGCAACAGGGCCTGACGAGCTGAGGGCGGCGGCGGAGGAGAGGGGGATCGAGGACTCCTCGGTCCCTCCCTGCGCGTCGTCCGTCGTCCTCGATCCTCCCCCCCCTCGACGAGGCGGGAGGGATCGAGGAGGACGGGGGAGGAGTGGGGGGCAGGAGGAGCCGGAGGGCAGGAGAAGGAGGAGACGGAGGGGGGGGAGGAGGAAGGCGGACGTGCAAGTGTCGTGGAGGAGGATGAGGAGGAGGAGGAGGAGGAGGAGGAGGAGGTGGAGGAGGAGGAGGAGAAGGAGGCCGAGGAGGGCAGCGGGTGTTTTGACCTCGGCGCAAGTTTCGCCCCAGTTCTTGCCGAAGAAAGGTTCCCGGATCAGGAAGAACAGCACCATTGCAGCGGAGGGAGAGATGACGTGGCTTGGAAAACAGGTGGAACACGAGGACGAGTCCATCGGCGAAGACCAGCACATCTGTGGCAAATGACGCGCCCCAGCCAAGGAAGCAGAGGCCACAGCATGCCACACATTGACTCCAGAACTGTGCAAACCATTTCACACCAACGAGGCCAAGTAACCCAATACCAACATCTGGTTTCACAGTTTGCACTGGAGTCGAAGAGCTGTCCTTCGCCGGGATCTGGAGGAAGCCCCGCGGGCACCCACCGAGGCGGTCCAAACGTTTGGGCGACAGGCCGACGCCAGTGGCAGCTTTCCCCCCGCCGGGGGGCCTCGGCCGTGCCGCGGCAGCCAGCTGCACCGCCAGCGCGAGCCGTCGCCTCGATGGAAGCTGCCGCCTTGCCCGATCTGCACTGCACGAGGTCGAGCAGCCACGGGTCCATCACCACGACAGAGGTCGGCCACGCGCAGAGGGGTGCAGGGGGGGGGAGGCTTCTTAGAAGCGCCCCTGCTTCTCAGGAGGCGCGGGCCGTGTCTGCACATGCAAGTCGGGCCGGCGCCTTCTGAGAGGCGGCCTCCTTCTGAGCAGCCCTCCTCCCTCCTCCTACCCCCCCTCTGCGCGCCGCCAGAGGGTACGAAGCGAACGCAGTAGCTCAGTCTCGTGCCGGTGCCTGCGGCCCACGCTGGTCTCGGCGCCAATTGTCAGGAGGGGAAACAAAAACACAGACACAATGAACCGTCGATGCCCCAGAAAACTTGGGAAAATATGGGAAGTGTGGGGGGAGACAAGAACCCAGAAAATATGGGAAAATAGGGGGGATCCTGCATATTATTTGTGTGCATTTGTTTGTGTGTCCCTGTCCAAGGCGTTCCTTTTCCTGTGCAAGCTCCTCGGCACCGCCTGCACCCTGGTCCGCCCTCCGGCCGCCTGAGGCCCCGCCCGCCTGCACCCTGTCTCCCCAATTAGAGCTGTGCATAGCCCGCCTAGCTTTTACCGGAAGAGGTTCGCTCTCGCCCCCCAGACCAAAAAAAGTTTGTGTGTCCCAGGGCCCCTTCAGACTGCACCGTCCGAGGCCATGCTCCCCCCGAGGGGCAGGTCGCCCCGCCGCCAGGCACGAGGACCGAGGGCGGGCGCGAGGGGGCCTCGAGGCCTGCGTCCACGAGCCAGCGGCCAGGGGCAGCCCAGCCCGTCCCCTCTGCAGGAGGAGCCTCCAAAAGCAGTCAAAACATATTCTGGGGACGTCTTTGGTTGTTGTTGCTGCTGCTGTCTTGCTAGTTTTGACGGTGGTCGCATCCTTCTCTAAGATTTATTCTTTGTCGTCCGAATTCTGCCTGTAGGAGGACACGCCCGACCTAAACCCAGCCTGGCGGGTATTTTGGAGCGGTGCTGTCTGGCGCGCCCATGTTCGGGTATAGCCGAGGCCCCGGATAAGGGGGTCCAGTTGGTGACTGGGTCGCGAAGCCCCCAAAGTTGGTCAGAATCTTTGAGCCAGGTCTTCCATAGCTGGTGTGTTCTTCGAGTGATGACAGTTCCGGTTAGTGGAACGGGGCCGGGGGGGGGCGTCTCCCGGTACACATCACTAAGCCAGGTCCCGCTGAATTTTGTCCTGCCAGCGCCCGACAGTAGTGAAACTCTCTCAACCAGTGCCTCGCAGCGCCTGAGGCGGCGGGCGGCGGCGGCAGCCAGCGCCGACTCTTCAGGCGGTTAAGCTCCGTCTGGTCTGCAGCCGCGATGGTCGACACGGGGATGCCGAACTCGTGGGCAGCCAGATTCCTGCGCGCA